TAGTTTATATGGATTTTAGCAAAGATTTCGTCAAGGTCTCACATAGGAGATTGATTGACATGGTTAAAGCACAGGTTAAAGGTGGACTGCAACGGTTCAAGAAGGCAGCTCACCACCACCTTCTCAAGGGCAACTAGGGACAGGTAATAAATGCTGGCTCGCCAGCAATGCCCACATCCCACAAATGAATAAACAAAAAATAGAATTCAGAGAAACTTGGCAAGATGGTTCAGAAGCTGGCTTAATAATAGGACACAAAGAGTACTGGTAGAAGGCTGTTCGAGTAACTGGAGGCTGGTGTCCGGTGGTGTACCATAAGGATCAGTACAGGGACCGTAATTGTTTGTTATACACATAATGGACATAGATGAAAATGTGGGGGTAATGTTAAGCAAGTTTGTAGACAACACCAAGATTGGTAGAGTGGTTAACAGTGAACAAGATAGGAAGATATAGGTGGTCAGATAGGTAAAGGAGTGGCAGATGGTATTTAACCCTGATAAGCACAAGGTGATGCACTTTGGAAGAAGAAACAAGATGAGGGAGTATTAAATGAATGACAATGACACTGGGTAGCTCAGAGGAACAGAGTGATCTTGGAGTAATTATTCACAGATCTCGGAAGTCAGCAAAGCACATGAATAAGATAGTTTATTAGTTATCTGGGATACTTGCTTTCAATCGGTCACGGCATAGAGTATAAGAGCAAGGAGATAATATTGGAATTTTATACAGCATTGGTTAGAACACAGCTGGACTATTCTGTGAAGTTCTGATCACCTCACTACAGGCAGGATGTGAGAGAAGGTTCACAAGGATGTTGCCTGGGAAAGAACAATTAAGTTATAAGCAGAGACCTGATAGGCTTGGATTATTTTACTTAGAGCACAGAAAGCTAAAGGGGTCATGTTTGAGGCATACAAGGACATGAGGGGTATGGATAGGGCGAGTAGGGAGCATCTTGGTGGAGGGGTCAATCACGACAGGGCATAATTTTAGGGTAAGGGACAGGAAACTCAGAATTTGAGAAAAACCTTTTCACTCAGAGGATGGAGGGAATCTGGGATATATTGCTTGGGAAGATAGTGGAGGCCGGAAACTTCACAACCTTTAAAAATATTTGGTTGAACACTTGAAATATCAATCAAATAACATTCAAGGATAAGGCACAAGTGTAAGAAATTGGGATTAGTGGTAGTTATTGTCAGTGCACACTCAATAGGCTGAAGGGCCTTTTCTGCACTATATGACTCTATGTTGGAGAGAAATAATTGTTGTAAATGGAGAACGGTTTCCATTTTTAAGGGACACGATCACTGGACAGTGCACAGCAGGAGCTTAACCAACTTCACAATACGAAACAACGTATCTTGACCAGGAACTGGCCTAGCCTTCTAAGTGAGGCATCAATATTTTAATTGTTTCGTACAATTTGTGGTCACGTGACAAATGGCATACTGCAAAATGTAAACACTGTAAAGAATCCATTATTCATGGAATAGTTTTTCTTCAGCTGTATCACCAATGCATAGGGTGATACAGTCATACAGCACAGAAGAGGACCTTGACTCATCAGTTCTGTACTGACCTCTCTACACTAATCACATTTTCCAGCACTTGGCTCATGCGTTGAATGTTGACATTTCACCCATGTACTTTTCAAAGATTGTGAAGTTTCCTGGTCTTTACTACCTTCTCAGGCAGTGCATTCCAGATCCCCAACACTCTACGTGAAGAGTCCCTTCAAAACTCCTACCTTAAAATTATGCCCTCTGGTTACTGACCCTCCAGCTTATGGCTACCATCTCATCTTCCGTTTGGGAGTCTTGCAGGCTTCAGGACTCAATATAGTTCAGTAATTTTGGAGTCTGAACACCTTGAATATCTTTCACTCAACCCCACATTCCAGGTCCTATCAAGTCAGAGGTTGCTTTTAGCACAACCAACTCATTTTCTCCCACTCATTGTCTCCATTATCACCTATCTAACTTATCTTCTTCCCTGGCTTACAATCAACAATCCCTTTGTTCCTCTCTCTATCTGGGTTCTGCTTCTACCTATCAGCTCATCCCTCCACCCCACTCAGACCTTGTCATCCAATAAAAACTCCTTTTTCCCCAGATGCAATCAATTCCAAAAAAGGGTCACTGGGCTCAAAATGTTAACTTTATTTTGTCTCCACAGATGCTGCCAGACCAACAATAGCAGAACCCTGGATAATTCAAGCAGCGAGAATTCCAGTCAACTTGGCTTAAGAGTAGATGCTGTTAAGACCAGATGCTCTCAAACCAGGGTCTTTTTAATTCATTTGCATTAATGTTTCTGCCGGTCTGATGAGAAAATGCTTTTTTAAAACTCTTCCCAGAAATCACGTCTCTGTCGTGCGATCAGAGTAACTTTTCCTGTTGTCCTCAATTATGTTAAGCTATTCTCACACAATGGAGGAACTCAGCAGATCTGGCAGTATCTGTGGAGAGAAAGCAGAGTCCAGAGACGCTTCTTCGGAATAGATCCAGTTCTCCAGCAATTTCTGTTTTTGTTGCCATAATTTTTTATCTTCCATTAGTATTGTATAACATAACCAGCTCCCTAAGCTTTGAATGCTCAGAAAAGAACCATCAGATCCTTGACATAACTGAACGTACATATTTGTGAACATTATAGCATTTTACTTATATTGCTATAATTTTTTTTTTAAAAACTGCTTTCTACAAAGATAGCACTGTACTGATGCATTATATACATATATAAAAAGCAAGAGGGCAGCCAGAGAAAGGGTTGGCCCACTCAAGTACAAGGAACGAAATGTATGTATGGAGCCAGAAGAGGTAGGTGAGGTCTTAAATGAATACTTTGTGTCGGTATTCACCAAAGAGAAGGAACTGGTGGAGGATGATGTCAGGGAAGAGAGTGTCAAATTTCCAAGACAAGTTGCTATCAAAAAAGGAAGGAGCGCTGTGCGCCTTAAAAAGTGTTAAGACAGATAAGTCCCCGGGTCCTGATGGGATCTATCCCAGAATTTTGAGGGAGGCAAGACATAAAATTGCTGCAGCATTGATAGACACCTTTGTATCTTCTTTAACCATAGGTGAGGTCCCAGAAGACTGGAGAATAGCTAATGTTATCCCATTGTTTAAAAAAAGGTAATCCCGGAAATTACAGGCCTGTGAGCCTCATGTCGGTGGTAACGAAATTATTGGAAAAGGTTCTCAGGGACAAGATCTATAAGCATTTAAAAGCAAATGGACTGATTAGCGACAAACAGCATATTTTGTGCGAGGCAGGTTATGCCTCACTAACTTAATCAAGTTTTTGAGGAGGCGACGAAGATGATTGATGAAAGAAAAGCAGTTGATGTTGTCTACATGGACGTCAGAAAAGCCTTCGACAAGGTCCCTCATGGCAGACTGGTACAAAGGGTGAAATCATATGATATTGGGTGAGCTGGCAAGATGGTTATACAATAGGCTTAGTCATAGGATATAGAAGGTAATGGTGAAAGGATGCTTTGAAGAATGGAGGACCGTGACTAATGGTGTTCCACAGGGATCAGTGCTAGGACCTCTGTTGTTCGTGATCTACATAAATGATTTGTTGGAAAAGGTAGCTGATCTAATGAGTAAGTTTGCAGACAATACAATGATTGTGGACTTGCAGATAGTGAGAAGGACTGTCAGAGGATACAGCAGGATATAGATCAGTTGGAGACATGGGCAGAAAAACAGCAGATGGAGTTTAATCTGGACAAATGAGAGGTGATGCATTTTGCAAGGTCAAGTACAGGTGGAAATGATATAGTGACTGGCAGAACCGTTAGAAGTATTGATATGGAGAGAGATTTGGGTATGCTGGTCCACAGATCACTGAAGGTGGCAGTGCAGGTGGATAAAGGTAGTAAAAAAGGCCTATGGCATACTTGCCTTCATTGGAAGGGACATTGAGTACAAAGATAGATAACTTACGCTCTAGCTTTATAGATCTTTAGTTAGGCCACACTGGAATATTGCGTACTGTTCTAGTCACCACACTACCAGAAGGATGTGGATGTTTTGGAGAGGGTACAGAAAAAGGTTTACCATGTTGCTGCCTGGTATGGGGGATTTTAGTTATGAAGAAAGGGTGGATAGATTGGGTTTGTTTTCACTGGAATGCATATGGTTGAGTGGTGATTTGAAAAGTTTACAAGATTGCGAATGGCATGGATAGAGCGGAAAGTATGAGGCTTTATCCCAGGGTGGAAAGGTCAATTACTAGGGGACACAGGTTCAAGGTGCGAGTTTTAAAAAAGATGTGCGAGGCACGTTTTTCACACAAAGGATGGTGATGCCTGAAACACGCTGCCAGAAGCAGGCACATTGGTAGCACTCAAGAATCATCTTGATAAATACATGAATAGAAAGGGAACAGAGGCAAACAGATCCTGTAAGTCAACACAATTTTAGTGTGGAATGGCAAAATGTGTCAGCGCGGGCTTGAATGGCCGAAGGGCCTGTTCCTGTGCAATATTGTTCTTTGTATTCCTTGGGAGGCACCAGCATAGTGGTGTTTCTTTGGATGCCCCCCAAGGAGGCAGTGGCATAATGGCATTGTTACTGCATCAATAATCCAGAATCCCAAGCTAACCTTCTAGGGACATGGGTTTAATCCCCACATTTGGTGAAGAAACTGCATTCAACAAAAAGTTAGTCTAATGGTGGACACGTAGCTACTGTCGATTTCACTAAAAACCCAACTGGCCTTTAGGGAAGGAAATCTGCTCTCCTTTCTGGTATGAATTATTTGTAACTCCAGACCCTAACTCCAACTAGGGATGGTCAATAATTGCTGGCCTGGCCATCAATACCCACATCCCATGAACAAATTACAAAATAAAATACTGCTCAGAATGTAAGGGTCACTGGAATAATGTCAATAGTAACAAAGCCACCCATACACAAATGTTATATAGGACTCCAGGCTTCAAATCAGAGCAGTGAATTTAACACAAATACAGGACTCACCCTCCAATCCTTGCTTTTCTAGTGGAATAGGGTACACATAGACATACGATTTCAGCTTTTCTCGTTCTACAGCCTGCGTACCAAGAGTCACACTTTCTCCCAGTACCAAAATTTCATAGGAAACGAATATGCAGCCACTAAAGTAAGCAAGAGAAAAGATTAATTCACTTCAACAAACTGCAAAACAATGTTATTCTTTTCAAGGATTACATTAATCATCCAATTTCTTTGTAAAACCTTTCCGTATCTAGGTGCTAAATGAGCTAACAAGAATTTCTTGAAAATACAATAAACTCAAATGATTCTTCAATATCAAGTCCAACCAAAACACTGCAGGCATAAGTTTTATTAACTTCAATACAAATCCAATATGTAGAAAAAAATGACCAAACCTTGTGGACACGAGGATTTACAATGGGTGAAGGGCATCAATGTCCATCACCGTGACGAGCTTGGTAATTAAATGCTGTGAGTCCAATACGAATCTTCTTTGGAATTGAAGGGGCCTGGAAAATTATTTACGATGTTTCAAAGTGGATGGAGGAGCAAATGAAACTGATGGTAAGCAACATTCCCTATAGGCTGTGTACATGCACAGCTGCTCCAATGTTCCGCACACGGCAATCGGTGTGCAGACACAGGTCGCAGCGGTTGACTTCTGGTTGCAGAAGTCGCAGCCACATGTGGACCTCAGAAACCTGAGCAGAAGAAAAAAAAAAGACGGAGCACTGACAGTGAGAGATATAAATGCAGAATATGATCGCCTCTACTACTATTTGCCTTTGTCTTTTTTCCTGGGCACACTCATACACTCAGCATCCCCTGCACCCCAACCACCACCCCCCTCAATCAGCTTTGTCAACAGCCTAGAAAATATATTCCACACTTCTTCAGTTCCAAAGAAGAGTTATATAGGAATTGTAATGGTCAGCTTTGTTTCACTCCCCATAGATCACCTGCTGAGTTTCTTCAGCATTATTTGTTTTCATCCCAAATCTCCAGCATCTGCAGTACTTTGCTTTTATTAAAGCGAGAAGACAGCTTTACTCAGGGTGTAGAACAGCATGCCAAGAATCGATTCAACCAAAGCTAATACTGTAGGGCCAACCTGGATAAACTCCAGCATAGTACGACATTAATGGAAAACAGCAGATGCTATAAAAAATGCAAAGTGATCCCCTAACCAGTGCATTAAGTTAAAGTTTTACAGTAGTGGATGGTGGCAGACAAGTGAACAATGAACTGGAAGAGGTGGCTCCAAAAACAGCACTATCTTCAAAGACTGTGAGGCCAGCATACCAATACAAAGATAAGTCTAAAACATTTGCAACCATTTCATTCTAGTAGTGCTGAATGGATGATCCATCTTGGTCTTCTTGGTGGATCATAATAGATACCAGTCCGCAGATAATTTGATAACTCTATATGATAATCAAGACATGGCTGAAGACTGTAGTCCCTGAGACATTGCAGATGTAGTACTGAAGACCTGTGTTCTAGACTAGTTAGGTTCCCAATTGAAGTGCTCTGCTATAGATCCTCTTTATCATCTTTTAAGGTGAAGATACCCATGTTCATCATCTGGGGTGTCTGGTAGACTTCCAGTGAGTGAGCAGGTATATTTTAAGGTGTACAGGCACTGTAAAAGGTCTTTAGCAAATAAAACAGGATATTACAGATGACTGCGTTTGGAGGAATTACTGGTTCTCCCCTGCATTTTCGTTCTTTATCTCATATGCATCTACTTTTGATGCAGGCTGCAGTTTTCTCATTTGGTTGCGTTGGGAGCAGTAATACTGGATCCCGGGATTTAAAGCCAATAGCAATGAGGCCTTCAGAATGTCCCTGTAGTGATTCTTTGACTGTCAGAACAGATTACTCCAGATCCAGTTTGGTGAATGAATGACGGTCAGACATTCTGATTAAACGATCAGCTTAACTCAATCATGACTGTTTTAATACAGTGAGCATGTTTGGATGGTAGATCAGATGAACACCATAGTATCTGGTATTTTATCCCACCATCTAATCTTCAAAAACTTCTGAAATTAATTCTGAGATTAAGTGAAAGTGATGCCAGTACACATTCCAAGTCATACTCATGGAGATCTACAGCAAAGAAGGAAAAAAACCTTTGGGCCCATGCCAGTCAGAAGCAACCATGTAACTGAGCAACACAACACTGACCACTCAAGGATAAAGGAGGGAACTTGTGCTTGAAGGCGGAGAATGTGGGCAAGATCCAAAACAAGTACTTTCCATCAGTGTTCACCAAGGAAAAGAGTATGCAGGATAGTGAGATTTGTGTGGACCATGCTAATATGCTAGGGATTTTGGAGATCAAGAAAGACGTGCAGTTGGCTCTCTTGAAGAGCGTCAAGGTGGCTAAGTCCCCAGGGCCCAATGATATCTGTGCTGGGTTATTGAGAGGGGCAAGACAGGAGATTGCTAGGGCCTTGACCAAAATCTTTGTATCCTCACCAGACACTGGAGGTGTCCGAGGGCTGCCGTGAGTAACTAATGCTGTTCCTCTGTTCAAGAAGGGAAATAGAGATAATCCAGGAAACTACAGGCCAGTGAGTCTCTCACTGGTGGTCGGGAAGCTATTGGAAAGAATTCTTAAGGATAGGATTTACACATATTTGGAAAGGCATGGCTTAATTAGGGACAGTCAGCATGGCTTTACGCTGGGAGGTCATATCTTACTAACGATTGACTTTTTCAAGGTGATGATGAAGTTGATTGATCAGGGTAGAGCTGTGGATGTTGATTACATGGATTTTAGTAAGGCTTTCGACAAAATCCCTCAAGGTAGGCTCATTCAGAAGATTAAGATGCAAGGGATTCATGATGACATGGCTGCATGGATTCAGAATCGGCTTTCCCATAGAAAACAGAGGGTATTGGTGGAAGGCTGGAGGTCCATGACTAGTGGTATTCCACAGGGATCCATACTTGGACCTCTGCTGTTTGTGATATATATAAATGACTTAGATGAAGATGGAAATGTAAATGGATGGGCTAGTATGTTTGCAGACAATACAAAGACTGGTGGAGTTGTGGATAGTGTGGAAGGTTG